GCAGCTGGCGGCAAGAACATTCCTCCTCTCAGCGGCTGATTTCCAACCAGCTCTGTAGCAAACGTCGAAAATCTGCGCCCATCGAGGTTCAAACCCTAAGACACCCACAAGACCTTTCAGTGACCCCCGTCGTAGTATTCATTGGTTCCGTTCGTTATTTAACAGCACCAGGGACTCTTATTAAATGATAAGAATGTGTTTGAGAAGAGGTGACAAACATTTATTCGGAGCAAGACTTAGTAAACACGACGGGCACAAGGGCGGGTACAAGAAGAATTTTGAACACTGCGCCCCTCTCTGAAGTGCAGTTAATAATTACCTACGGGTAACATAAGGTTTGAGATCTCTCAACAAAGGAATCAGAGGATTTTAATATTTACGAAAGGAACTTATTATCTAATTGGAACATTCAAATATATTTTTAGAGTCGTTTTTAAAATTAGTTTTAATGGGAATTCATTGCTTTTTATAAGAGTCATCATGTTTCATATCAATCGTTTCACTGGTCGTACCTAATACAATCTGTTAACATTGTCATTTTAGGCAGACGACGTTGATTACATATCCGGCCCTTCTTGTACTAAACAAAAATCTAGCCACGAATTAAAATCCGTCGAAATAATAATTTTTACGCTCTCCGTTTGTGTTTTTCGTAAGCTTCATTAAGTTATTTATCACGTAAGATAAAGTACGCGCGTGCTTTGTTCGCTTGAATAACTCTATTAAGAGCCCAAAATGAATGAGAGAAATAAGAATTCTCGTATAAAGATAATTTTAACTTTGGTTTTATCATATCTCAATTAACTGATTTTTGTGCTTCTACAATAGATACAAGTTGGGCAACAACGCAATATTATTCGTGGGCTAGCACCAACAATATAATATAAACTTACTTTCGGAAATAACACGGCAAATTTTCAATCATACTTGCAAGATGCAAAAGTTAAATGTTTCAACTGCACTTGCACGAAAGCGTCACTGAGATTGTTCTCTTTTGAACAGTCGCTGGATCTTTCCTTTTATCCGCAGAGTGAATCACTTCAAGGCACATTCCTAAGAGAGGCCAGCAAAAAGAGCTACCTTGCTATTCTCGCCGATAGATATGATAACATTACATTCTAGTACGTATCACAGAAACTGGTTAGATTTTCGTAATTTATATAGTAGCTTCTAATGTTCAAAGAGGCAATGCAGGATTTACACACAAGTTAAATGAGCTGTAGCACGGAGTTCTCCCTTTCGAAGATTTTCAAAAACTTAAAAAATCTAAAAATTACTATTGTTATTCAACAGTTATTGTAAAAGAAATAATTCACTCCGTGTTTCCAAACGTAGAAATCACAATTCGTCAACGCAACTCTAGTGATTGCATAAGCTCTGCCAAATGTTCATTTTCTCAGTAGAAAAGAATACAAAAT